TTACAAGTGCATAATTCTGCTCTTTTTAATAGCCATTCACATCAAACATAGCCCCCGATTGTGGATAGTACCCGCGTATGAGCCCGCCAAAGTTTTTCTCAGGTATGTTTATTACTCGGGGATCTGAGGAGCTAGAAGGCTGAAATGTTAGGGGGATGTTCCCCGTTCAAATGGGTATTGGTGAGGTCAATCCCAGCCAAAAGTAAGCTGGCAGAAAAGCAAACCAAGAATGCACCTTTCATGGGTTTATAAACCCTGCCATGCATTTAACATTGCAAAAATGCGGTAATTTCTATAACGTGGTTAGCCGTCAGTTGCAGTTTCTTTGAACTCTGGTAACAGGAAGAAGAGACAGACTCGATATATTACGAAAATAGGGCCGAAACAGGCAACAGGTGCTATATTGGTTGACAGGCGCTCAAATCCGAGAATCTGTTACACATCAGTGTTCCAGTCTTCTAGCTTTTCAGATTCCCGAGTTAGCAACTTACCTGCAAACACTCGCCGGCTAAGTTAAATGTTTCAAGATGATTTTATGCCATTTCCAGAGCCAAATTCACGAACAAATGCTTGCTTGTTTACCAGAATTTATCAAATTAATATTTGCGTATTATTTTCTAACCGTCCCAAGAATTTAACCGCCCATAAGCTGAACTCCCACTGCCTGCCAAAAGAACAGAACACTTGTCCAGCTTAAATACTGCCTTACTCAGATTGATTTTTGCTCTTTACTGCTTTTTATACTTTCGCGAGCAGCAATTTTGGTAGCGGATCTATGGCTGCAATTGGCGAAAATGAACTTTACTGCATACGGCGTTTTGCACTTACCAATTTTGTACAATTTGACGAAAGCACTTGTCGACGAATAATTCTCGAAATTAAACAGAAGTGGATTTGGTGCACCGAGAAGATCCAGCAGCATCAATAGGTCCTTAAGCAAAGAAAACAAAAAATGTTACTCAAATTAACTTGAGAAAAAACTGAAACCATCATAACTGCCAGGCAAAACTTATAGCTTAGGGATGAAACACAGAGAGGCCACCCAAGATGCTCAGGATACATGACCATTTCACATGTCAAAAGATTTTTACCAGATTATCTTGTCAACTGTCTTCCCCATTACCATTCTGTAAATTCTATCCTTTCTGCTTAAATCACACGGGATTCAGCCATGCTAGATTCCCTTCGATTAGCATGGTCCATTACTTCACAAAGCACGCATCGACCTACTTACGTCCGCAAAATACCACTTTACAGCTCCGATCTTCTTGTCAGTCCTGCTCGGTACAGCTAATTTTGGCTGGGTTTCTGTCCCCCTTCCTTTTTATTGTATCATGTTGTATTTTCATGGATAGGCTGCTAAATAAAAAGAAATTCTAAAGGAATATATGAGGAGTGCTAGTCCTTGTATTTCTACAAAAGTGAAATGAAAAGAGTTCCATAAAAAAAAAAAAAAAACCCCTACAATTCGGTCAATTTCGTTTTTTATTTCAAATGACGACTGGTATGTGTTAGCGAAGTATTGCTGTTTCCATTTGGCGGCCAAATGCCGTGAACCGTAGATC